CCTCCCTCCCTCCCTCCCTCCCTCCCCCTGAAGGGCACTGGGGCTGGCAGGACAGAGGCTGAGCCCCTCTCCTTCTCCTCTCTCTGTCTCCCCCCCCCCTGCAGCTGCAGCGCCTCCTCCCTGCCCCACAGTTCCTTCCACTTGCCTCAGCCCAAGCCCCTGACCGTCACCTTCCCCTCCGCCTCCGCCCTGGCCCCGCTCCTCAGCCGGCACGGCCAGGCCCCGCTCCAGGTCCAGGTCAGTGGCGCAGGGCGGCTCCGGGTCAAGGCCAAGGGCCAGCCCCGTAGCTAGGGAATTCTTTGAGAGGGGGCCTCGGGGGGCCCACCAGCTAATTAAATGAAAGCACAGTGCAGGTGGTAAGTTGGAGCACTTTGGGGGTCAACCCAGGAGGGAGGGGGCCCAGAAGAAACACTAGGGGGCCAAGCCCCATGGGCCCCATGTTAGCTACGGGCCAGCCAAGGGCTCCCGAGGTCAGCAGCGGGAGATGGGGGGGGCCTTGCCCTTGCCGGAGGCCCCTCCTTCCGTCCTCCTGGGGGGCCCCAGCCGCTCAAGCTTCTTCCCCCCCCCTGCCACGTTCCTCGTAGGTGGCCTCCTTTGCGCTCGACCCTTTCCAGCCCCTCGGCGGGAAGGCCATGGCCAGCGTGGCCAGCGTGGCGATCCACAGCAGCAGCGAGGGGCCCGTCGGCGTCCACGGCCTCCTTGAGGAGATCGAGGTAGGGAGACGGGGGCTGCCCACTGGGTGGGACTGGGCCTCCTGGGGTCAAAGGGAAGAGCAGCTCAGGGCTGGCCCGGGGCTGGCCTTTGGGGAAGACTTGCCCCCACTCTTGCCACTATCCCGGGAGGGGGAGGGGGAGGGGGAGGCTCCCTCCCAGAGGAAAGTGCTGACCGTTTCTGCAGCCACAGAGAGGCAAACAAAGAGACAAGTGGAATTGGGGAGTTTGGGGGGGGTTCACCTTCATTCTCCTTCCCCACGCACTCACGCCACAGCCACACCCTGCTCCGCCCCCTCCCTCCCTGCCTGCCTCCTCCATCTACACAGGGCGACAGCAGCCACAGAAGGGGCCCCTGCCCCCTGGGACACCCATCGGGGGGGGTGTTTCTCCTTCCGGAGGGAGTCAGGGGCCCACCGGCTGGGGCTCTGAAAGCAGGGGTGAGGAGGGGCCGCTGAGGCCTGGGGTGGGGTGGGGTGACCCATGTCTGCTTTCAGATCCTGCTCGGGGGAGAGGGTGAAGTGGAGGGTTCTGCCACCCGGCTGAATGGCAGCAGCGGGCAGTTCAGCATGGAGGTGAACGTCACGTCCCTGGAGGATGCCCTGCTGGTCAGCGTGAGACCTGCCGCCCCGCTCCGAATCACCCTGCACTTGGCGTCCCTACCAGAAGCCCACCACGGCCGTGGCTGCCTCCTCAACACCACGCTGCCCAATGGCAGCTGGCAGGAGGGTACGGTGGCAGGGGGGGCGGGGGCCTTTGAGGTCAAAGCAGGAGTTGTGGAGAGTCAGTGCCAGGGCAGGATCGATGTCGGGGGCGAGGGCAGGCCACGGGTTCTCAGTGGCAGAGCGTGGTGGAGATGCTGCCCCCCTGTGCCCCCGCTCCGCCGGTCGCCCACCGACCTGACTGCCCGCTGTCCCTCCAGAGGGTGCCTACGTGTGGGTGGTGCCCCCAGAGGAGCTGCGGCAGCGGCTGCACGGCCCGGGCACCTACTCCCTTTCTGCGGTGGTGGCCTCACAGGCCCAGGGCCCCAGCAACGTCTCCGTCGCCCTCGCCAGCACGGGCTGCTACCACTGGGCCAGCCAAGAGCAGGCCTGGAGAAGCGACGGATGCCGGGTAGGATGACCGACGAGGGGCCAGTGGCCGTGCCAGCCGGCGGTGGGGCAGGGAGAGCAAAGACAAGATGGCCCCGCGTGGGAGGGAGGGAGGGGGGACACCCCGCGCTTGGCATCCTGGAGGCCCCCTGGTGACGATGACGGGGGGGGGCCCGCGTGAGTTCCGGGCTGGGAACAGGCAGGAGGCCCCTGGGAGTGCAGCCCAGGGAGGCCGGGGCTTGGGCAGGGGCGGGGGGTGCTGCCTCCCTCGGAGCCCACCGCATCCACTTCCTTCAGGGGAACGGATCTCTCTGCTCCCGAGATCAGTTGCCCTTTTGGGAGGCCCCCCAGGCCCCACCTGGAGGCCGGCCACCCTAGCCGACGCTCAGTTGTGCTGGGAAGCCCTTTCCTGCCCCTCTGCCAGCCCCGTGGTGGTGGTGGGGGGCAGCAAGGGCCAGAGGAGGCCCCACGGGGCCCGGTGGCAGGGCTTCAGGGGCTCTTCCTCAGGCAGCGGGGGCCCTCCTCTCCTCTCCAGGTGGGGCCCCGAAGCACCCTCCGCCAGACCCAGTGCCTGTGCAGCCACCTCACCTTCTTGGGCCGCTTCCTCGTGTTTGTGCCCCACGTGATCGACCTCCAGCGCACGGGCCAGCTGCTGAGCCAGGTGGGCCAGAACCCCGTCGGCCTGGCCTTGCTGTGCAGTCTCTTGCTGGCCTACGGAGCCCTCCTCTTGTGGGCCCTCCGGAGGCAGAAGGCAGACAGGAGGAAGGTGAGGCAGCAGAGGGGGCGTCGGGCACGGTGTGGGGGGCCGCTGACTTGGACACCCCCGCCCCCAGCTTCGCTGCCTGCCCGGGGATCGACTCTGCGGTGTGCCCCTCTGCCCCAGGTGACGGTCACAGTCTTGGCGGGTCATGCCGGCAGTGCCTCCTGCCGCTGCTACCTGGTCCAGGTCTTCACGGGCTACCGTCGAGGAGCAGCCACCTCAGCCAAGGTGAGGAGAGGCTCGGCAGCTGCAGGGCTCAAGCACTCCCACCCCTCTGTGGGAGAGAGGCCGGCTGAGACGAGGGGCAAAGGAAGGCCCTCCTCCGGCTCTCTCCCCTTGGCCCTGGGACTCCCGGTTAATCTCCAGTTTGAGAGCCAGTTTGGAGTGCAGTGGTTATGTGTGCGGACTCTGATCTGGGAGAACCGGGTTTGATTCCCCACTCCTCCACTTGCACCTGGCTGGGTGACCTTGGGCAAGCCACAGTTCTGATAAGAGCTGTCCTTGAAAAAGAGCTGTTTCTGTCAGAGCCCTCTCAGCCCCACCTCCCTCCCAGGGTGTCTGTTGTGTGGGGAGAGGAAGGGGAAGGAGTTTGCCAGCTGCTCCGAGACTCCTTCGGGTAGTGAAGGGCCTGGGGGTAGAAATCCAACCTCTTCTTCTTCTTCTTCTTCTTCTCCTCCGCCAACCCCCCCCCCATTCTGGGCCCCAGGTGGTCCTGACCCTGTACGGGGCGGAGGGGCGGAGTGAACCACTCCTCTTGCAGCACCCGCAAGCGCCGAGCTTGGAGACAGGCGGCATGGACGCCTTCCTCCTCACCACCCAGCAGCCCCTGGGCGCCCTCCATGCCATCCGCCTCTGGCACGACAACTCCGGAGCCAGCCCCAGCTGGTAAATCTCGGGCCCAGATTTTTTTTGGGGGGGGGGAGTCGGGGGCTGATGGACCCGAGTCTGAGCTTAGCAGGTGCTGGGTGTTGCCAGCTCCCCTCCCCCCCCCAGCCCACCCAACGGCAGACACGAGCCCATCGACAGGGGTTTGTACCCGCTTCCAAAGACGGGCACAGAACTGGCATGAGGGAGCTCCTCTGGAGCAAGCACCGGGGCCCCAAACAGTCCGCCTCCTGGACTGGTTTCCAGTTTCGCCCCAGGATGGCGGAGGGGAGGGGCCGGCAGGAAGGAAGGAAGGAAGGAAGGAAGGAAGGAAGGAAGGAAGGAAGGAAGGAAGGAAGGAAGGAAGGAAGGAAGGAGCGGCCGCCGAGGGAGCCGCGGAGGGCAGGCGTCATGTGCCCAGTCTCTCAAGGCCTGCGATGGTGTGGTTGCCTCCCTTGGTCTAGCACTGGAGTGCCACTGCCCCAACGGCCAACCAAGCAAGTGATGGGGGAGTGATGGGGGAGTCTGCAAGAAGCCCTGGCAGCTCCTGAACTCCGTGTGGGGAGCAGCGGAGGGTCTTGCTGGGGCCTCCAGCGAGCGGGGGGGGGAGGGGGCTGTGTGGCAGCGCCCGCATCTGACAGGAGTTGTCTCCAGGTTTGTGCATCGGCTGGTTGTCAGTGACCTGGCTGCCAGGAAGAAGTGGTATTTCCCATGTGCCTGCTGGCTGGCGGCGGACATGGAGGACGGCCAAGCGGACAAGGTCTTCGTCGCTGCCTCGGACAGGGAGCTGCGGTCCTTTGGGTACCTCCGGAACCCCTCCCCCTCCCCCTCCAGGGACAGCATGGGCCGGGGCCTGCCACATGACCCTGGGGCCACTGGGAACCAACGAGCAGCTGGATCGAGCCCCAGAACCTATTGGGAGGGGCCCGTTCAGCCATGGAGTGTGTGCAGAGAATCCTTCTCTCTGTGAACAGTAGGATGGCGTCCAGGGGAAAGGGCCCCAAAGAAGGGAGTGGGGCTGCCAGGGGCCCTCCCCGCCCCCCTCTCCTGGCCCCAGGTCCTCTACCGCATGCCCCACTCCCCCACCCCCACCCCACAGGTACCTCTTCTGGACGGGGCTGGTGGAGAAGCTGACGCAGGAGCACCTCTGGCTGTCGGTGGTGACGTGTTCGGCTTGGAGCCCCTTCACCCGGGTGCAGCGGCTCTCCTGCTGCCTCGCTCTCCTGCTGTGCGCCATGCTTGTCAACATCATGTTCTGGAGGGGGGCGGCAGAGGAGGAGGAGCAGCACCGGCCAGGTGAGGAGGAGGAGGAGGAGGAGGAGCCAGTGCTGGCCTGCTCCGTCCGTCCTCCCCCAGGGAGGGGTGCTGGGGGAGGGGAAGGGCCACCACCCCCTATATCCAATATAGGGGGCAGTGGCAGGGCTCCTCACCCTGGCAGAGGTGGCCTTCCCGAGCACAGCCCTGCCCCCGCCTCCCCCCCCCCCCCCCCCCCCGGCAGAAGGGCTGGCTGCCTCTGCTGGGGAGCCAGGGCAGACTTGACAGGCGGGCCAGGAGGAGCTGTGCCCAGGGGAATCTCCTCCCCCCCCCGGTGGGGTGCCCCCCTCCTCAGCCCCAGGGGCCCTCTCTGTGCTGGGCCCTCGGACCCCAAGAGCACGGGGCTCCTGTGCAGCAGGGCTGTCGGCTGCCCCCAGCCGGGCTCTGAGGGGTCTGTGCCCCCTCCTGGCAGGACCCTTGGTGGTGGTGACTTGGCAGGAGCTGGTGGTCAGCCTGGAGGCAGCCGTCATCCTGCTGCCGCTTCACCTGCTGATCCTGCACATCTTCCGGTGGGTCCAGCCACCTGCCCTGGAGCCGCCTCCACCTCCTCCTCCTCCTCCTGCCGTGGACCCCCAACTCCCGCAGCTGGAGCCCTCAAAGCAGCTGCCCACCATCACGCCCCTTCAGCAGGTAAGGACACTGTGGGGTGGGGGGGCGGCCAGTGCATCCTGCTGAGCACGAGATGCTGAGTGGCTTGCCGGTGGGGGTGGGTCGCCTCCCTCCTACATGCTCCCAGTGGGGCCCTAGGGATGCCAATCTCCAGGTGTCCCCCTACACCACCACCCCGCCAGCAACGGTAGTACCCCCCCCAGGCAAACTGGGGCACCCCCCTGCCCAAGCCCATCCTGCCGACTCCTTCCTCAGGAGCTGACGGAGACCGTGGGCTTCTTGTACAAGAATCCACTGTGCCGCTGCCAAGACCTGGCCGAGTTCCCTGGGACTTGGAAGCAAGTGCCGGAGCTGGTGGCCGGCCTGTGCGCTCTCGTCCGCTCTTCTCTCCGGCAGCTGGAGGAGGACCCTGAAAGACTTGTGCAAGGTACGGAGAGCTGGTGGAGGGAACACACGCAGACGTTGATCCCGCTGAGACAGAGAGCAGGCAGGAAGTGCCAGTGCATGGGGACAGACATGTCATCGGCGTAGGAGTGGAAAGAACCTGCCCAGGTTTGGAGACAATTGCCCAGGGCCTGACACCCCTTTGCCTCCCCCCCTTTGCAGAGCGATCCAGCACTCTCCACGGCTACTTGTGCCACGTAGTGCATGACCTGGAGGCTCAGCTGCGCAGCCTGGACGGGCACAGCCTTCAGAACCCTTATGACCACCTGCATGCCCTGGACCAGCTGCACCGACTCCAGCAGCAGCTGCAGCAGCTGAACCCCCAGCTCTGCGTGAAGCAGCCCAGGTACTTGGTGTCAAGAGAGCCAATTCACATCCCAAAGGCTGTCAACGTGTCAAGGAGACATTAGTACTGTGCAGCGTTCCCTAAAACGTGACCCACCCTGCAAGGTAGACCACCCACAAGGTGAGTCTTTAAAATAAAATGCACAAAGACCACCGGATTACTCTGGGAGCAGCAGCAGCCATAGCTTTAGCCAGCCTGGCCAAGGTAACTAGATTCAGATTGAAGCCCCCAGAATGCAGAAACACACCGAAATATAACTAACATGCTTTATTAAAATAATGTGCAGGAATATATATAAACAAGAGCAAAGAGCAGTGAGAATTAAATAAACACGGCGAAATAACAATTCACAGGCTCTGGTGAGCAGGGCTGCCAGCTCCAGGCCGGGAAACACCTGGAGATTTTGTGGGTGGAACCGGGGGAGTGTGCGGGGGAGGGGGGTTCGGGGAGTGGCCGTTTCCCCCAGGCGAAGGGGTCTCTGTCACCCGGAGGTCCCTTGCAACCGCGGAAGCCCCCTCCGGGGCCTGCAGGACTCCTGCCTCATGAGCCGCCGACCTGGGCCTGAAGCGGACCGGCCTCCTCCTCCTCCTCCTCCCCGGGCTCTGCTCCCACCTCCCCGCCCGGCCGCCCGAGGCGTCTCTGGAGAAGCGGCAGGGCAGGGCAGGGCAGGGCAGGGCAGGGCAGGGCAGGGCAGGGCAGGGCAGGGCAGGGCAGGGCAGGGCAGGGCTGGCC